CACTCCAGGGATCTCGCTCCAGGGATCACACTCCTAGGATCACACTCCTGGGATCACGCTCCAGGGATCACACTCCTGGGATCACACTCCTGGGATCACGCTCCTGGGATCACACTCTGAGCACTGGATGGCAAGTTTTGTATTTATAGACCTGTGTTCTAATTCACCTTTACCGTACACTTCTGTATGCATTTTAGACTATGAGCTCATCAGCAGACTGCTTTGTATTTTCCTATATAGTTTCCTTTCTATCTTGACAGTGTTGCTTTTTTTTTTTTTTAACATATTTTATGTTATAAAATTTCTGGTGGAACTATTGCTATGTTTGACTTACTTTTATTATTTTACAATATTTATCCTGTTGACATGCTATAAACTGGACTAACTCTCATCCTTCACAATCTTCTTCCTTTGTAGATATGTAGGTATTATTCACTCTTATCCATATTCTTTACTCTTATTCCTCTCTGCCCATCACCACCATTCTATGTGTGTGTTTTGTGTGTGTTTTAATTGATTTCAGAGAGGGACAGAGAGATAGAAACATCAATGATGAGAGAGAATCAATAATTGGCTACCTCCTGCACACCCCACACTGGGGATCGAAGCCACAATTCTGGTTCACAGGTAGATGATCAACCACTGAGCCATACTGGCCGGGCCATTCTATGTGTTTAATGTGGGTCTTTTGTGTGTGTTCATTGTTTTGGATGCATGCATCTTTTTAATGTAAATGGTATTGTCTTATGTATTTGATTTTATTTTTTAAAATGTTTTCAACTCAACTCTATGCTTTTAAGATCCACCCCTATTGCTATATCCATCTAGTCCACAGCTTCTAACTGTTGTGTAATTCCCCAGGATGCGTCCACCACCACACGTCTCTTACAGAGCCAAGTGATAACATTTTTCAGACACACACACACACACACACACACACACACACACACATATGTAAAATACAGGGCATGCATATTTCCAACTTCACTAAGTCTGGCCACATTGATCTCTCCAGTGGCTGTGTCTCTCACTCCCGCTAGCAGTGCCTGAACGCCCCTCTTGGCCCACAGAGCCTGCTCCAGGGCACGTCAGCTGGGTTCCAAACAGGTTAGGTAGAGAGGGGATTTTCTAACCTTGACATTATCCAGTTTCCTAAATGTTGACAGTCTAATAGGTATAAAGTAGTAATTAATTGTCTTATTTGCATTTCCCTGATAACTAATGTGTTTGAACATCTCTACATATTGTTTAGCCAGACTGCCCCTTCATCTCTAGCGTTGAGATAATGAATCCCCACAACTGGCCCTGGGTTGTAATCTTTTGTCATATATTGGCTCATTAATTTTTTATTGTGGTAAAATTCACATAACATAATATTTACCATTTCAGTCATTTTCAAGTACACAATTCAGCGTCATTAAGTACATCTGCAACGATATGTGGCTGTTATCACTGGTTCTAGAATTTTCTCACCACCCCCCAAAAAAGCCTCAGACCCTTTAGGCAGTCTCTCTTCATTCCCACTTCCCTTCAGCACCCTGGCAAGCACTAATCTGCTTTTTGTCTCCATGGATTTTTTTTATTCTTTATATTTTATGTAAATGATATTGTACAATAAATGACCTTTTGTGACTGGCTTCTATTCCTTTGCATAATGTTTTCAAGGTTCACCATGTTGTAGCATGGATCAGGACTTCACTCCTTCTTATGACTCAATATTCCATTGCAAGGATATTCCGCATTTTGTTTACCAGTTCATCTATTGATGAATATTTGGGTTGTTTCCACCTTTTGGCTATGGTGACTAGAGCTGCTATGCAGATTCCTGTACAAGTTTTTGTTTAAACATGTCTTTAATTCCATTGGGTCATATGTAAAATTCTGTTTAACTAATTAAGGGACTGCCAAACTGTTTTCTACAGGAGCTGCACCATTTTACAACCCCACCAACAAACTATGAAGGTTCCAATCTCTCATTCTTGTCCACACTTGTTATTTTCTGTTTTGTTTTTCTTTTTAATTATAGCGATGCCGGTGGGTGTAAAATGTTATCTCCTTGTGGTTTTGGGTTGCATTTCTTTAATGACTAACGACATGAAACATCTTTTCATTTGCTTGTTGTACATTTATATATTCTCTTTGGAGAAATACCTGTTCAAGTCCTTTGCCCACTTTTTTAATTGGGTCATTTGTCTTTTTGTTATTGAGTTGTAAAAGCTCTTTAAATATTCTGGGTACTAGACTCTTATTAGATATGTGACTTGCAAATATTTTTCCCATTCTGTGGGTGGTTCATTCTTTTTTTTTAAAGCAAATTTTATTTAATCTGTTCCTTACTAAAAAGTCACACTAATATTTCCTTGTCTCTGAATGATTTATGTAGGTCCTCTGCCATTTACCTCTGGGAGTTTTATTGCTTTTCTTGTTGAGGTGCAGCTCCTTGGCATTTGAAGTTGACCTTGCTGATTTTGCTTATGTTCTTTTCAGAACTCTTGTTTGTAGTAGATATCAATGTGGATAATGGTCACATTTCTTTTTTTAGAAAAATATATTTTTATTGATTTTAGAAAGTGAAGAAGGGAGAAGGAGAGAGAGAGAGGTAGAAACATCGATGAGAGAGAAACATCGATGAGAAACATCAACATCGATCAGCTGCCTCATGCACGCCCCCTACTGGGGATCGGGCCCACAACCCGGGCATATGCCCTGACTGGGAATCCAACAGGTGACCTCTGGATGCATGGGTCGATGCTTAGCCACTGAACCACACCAGCCGGGCAGTGGTCACCATTTCTTGAGCTCTCTCCCGGGGGCTAAGCACTTTACATACTTGATTACAAGGTCAGAGGACCCTGTGGCACCTATGCCGTCAGAGCTTTACAAGCACCCGAAGCAGGACACCTCTCTCTTTCTCTGCAACGCCCCACAGCACAGTGCACGGAGGTGGCGGTCAGGGCGAGTCACAGTGACAGGAAGGAACTGTTCTCACTCTCTACTCACTTTAGTTCCTCAGCAAGCACTCCTCCTTATCCCAGTGTAAGTATCTCTTCTTGGTTCTGCCTGGGCTGAGGCAGCAATAGGAACACCTCCCTTTCTCCTTTCCTCCAAACACACACACACACACACACACACACACACACACACACACATCCAGGGTCAGGGACCCGACTTCACAATAACTGTGAGTCCTGCCGTCAAGATTGAACTCCTGCACAGCCTCCCAGAGGAGCCCTGGCGAGCCTTTTCTCTACACCCATAAATGTTTTATGGCTCTCCATTTCACAAAGGCAACTCAGGTGTCTACATACTTCTCCTTGTGACCTGATATCATTTGTCTGCTTGCTTCTCCTAAACTTTGCTCCTTAAACATCATTTCCTCCAGGAACTGTTTTTAGCTTGAAAAGTTGACCCTAGAAAACATGAACTTCATTGGCCCATCACAATACTTTCTCTCTTCTTCCTTTATGTATCCCCGAAACACCTCATATTCATTCTTAACAAGTGGAAAAGTTGGGTTCTCAACCTGATGGCTAATTCAGTAGTTCAGGACTCTGCTCTCCTGAACGGCAACTCCGGTCTGCGGCATAGATTTGGTAAGGTTGGCCTTGGTAACAAAAATGTGAAAACAAGCATCACCACGCATCATTCTGTTAGAGTCAATGAAGAGTTTTGCTCCGCTCAGGGAAACCTCTTCAATCACTGACAGCCTATGTAAGGTTTGGTTAGGCTGGATGCTAAACAGGGAAGAATAAAGAAAGGATTTGGGAAATAAAAGTTTAAAACATGCTTTTCAGGGCAGTCAATGACACACTTTCCTTCCCCATTCCATTTTCCTTAAATTCATCCAACAAAGTTCCAGGTTGGATGCGGTTTAAGGAAAGTCTGGTATGATGCTCCTCTTCAGATGGCACACTAAAAGCATACCTGCTTGCTTAGTGGTGGCAAATGCGGTTTATCTTGGTTTCCATGGGTAGACACTGACGCCATGATGTTGCTGTCTTTGCTTCTCTTCTAGTTGAGTGTACTCAGCTTACACGTTGACCTGATGTCTAGGGAAAATAGAAGACAGTCACTGTGCTGTGTCCGAGTGTTCCATCAACCTTAAAAACACCTCTAATATCAACTCACATATTTGAAAAACATGCTTTCATTTTGTCACTAGTCAATATCCAACCACCTGCCAACTTACTTTCTTTTTAAAAAATATATTTTGAAAATTGATTTCAGAGAGGAAGGGAAAGTGAAAGAGAGACAGAAACATCAATGATGAGACAGAATCATTGATCAGCTGCCTCCAGCATGCCCCATGTTGGGGATCGAGGCCACAACCCGAGAATGTGCCCCTGACTGGGAATTGAACCCTGACCTCCTAGTTTATAAGTTGATGCTCAACCACTGAGCCACGCTGGCTGGGCTGCCAACTTACTTTCTAATGCTTCTCCCCCACCAACACACACATATATGAAATGTCACACTCTGAAACACTGAAAATTTTTACTACCTATAAATTGTGTCCTAAAGGAGCTTCAATTCATTACAAGGCTATTAACTACAGAAATTTTACTGAGTGTCTGTTATGTGCCAGGCCAGGGGATAGGATTAAGGATAAGGCAAACACAGTGCTAAAGGAGCTCACAGTGTAAAGGGGAAGCCAGACAAGTCGGCAGTTACACAACACGCCGAGGGCTCCCCAGAGCCCTCGCTAACCGAGGCTGCTAAGGAAGGAGAGGAAGAAGGTCTGGCCTCTGGTCTCTCTGGTCAGGTCTGAGGCACCAAAGACTAGGACTCTTGAGCTTGTAGAGGGTGGATGGACTCCCCGGCATAAAAACCAGTTTCAAAGGCACGGTAATAGTCCAGGCAAGGCAGCGTGGAGACCTGAACTAACACGCTGGTGGGAAGCATAGACATAATACACTTGAGTTTGAAACGTTAAATGTGGGTGCCTGAGGGTACATACACTGGAACTAGCCAATAGAGATTCGAACATTTGAAGATTTGGGTCTGGAGTTAGAGATGAAGGGGAGACTGGAAAGATGAATTTGGGAGCTGCCATCATAGAGATGACAGATAAAGCAAGAAACAAACAAAATTGTCTAAAAAGAGTATTGGAGAGTGTGAACATTGAGGCCAAGGAATACCAACAGGAGGAGACAAGAAAAGGGCCAAGGAAAGGCCTGGAAAGGAGTAGCCGGTGCGGAGGAGAAGGAATGAAAGAGGGAATGAATCACTGGCGTCACATGGCTCAGAAGAGTGACTTGGCAAGGACGGACATAGTCCAGGTGGACGCTGAGTCCATGCCTGGCCAATGGCCACTGCACTCCTGGCCCTGGACACCATGACTACCACTGATTTCCCTGCAAAATGAACATCTTCTCATACAATCCTGCTTCCTACTAACCTGCCAGGCGTATGAGCCAAGGGGGCCCTCACTTGTACCACGTTTCACCTTAGGTACCTGCTGTTACTGTACAGATAGCAGGATGCCCTACCGTGGATGTTCCTGGAATCAGAAATACCTGAATTCGGATCCTGCCTCCACGCTTTGCTAGCCCTGTGCTTTGGGGTAAATGACTTGACGAGCCTGTGCCTCAGCTTTCTCGCCTGTTACGTAGGGATCATGGACAAGCAACCTTGAGGGGCTGTTGCAAGGAGGAGGGATAAGGAGGAGGGATGAGGTCCATAGCCCCAGCCCAGCACCCAGCACCCAGTACCCAGCACTCAGCACCCAGCACCCAGCATGCAGTGAGTGAGTGAGCAGTAAAGGGCAACTGTGAGAGTGGACCTGGGCACCTTGTTTCTTGAAGATTTCCAGGAAGTCTTTGCACCAAAGGTCAAATGGGAATACCTATCTCAGTCAGGTTTCCGCCATTGCCTTGGAGCAAGAAGCAAAGATATACCGCCCAGCTGCGGTGGGGTCCCCTGCACCCCGTTAACCATCAGCGCACAGCTGAGCAAACCTTCCAGGGTCCTGCCTTCCGGGTCAGCTCCCACCACCAGGCCCTGGTCTGGTTTGGGGTCTTTCTGCTTCTTCAATGTGTGTGTGTGGGGGGGGCAAAGGGGGAGGAATGCTGACAGGTGGGCAGTGGGGGGAGGTTGGCAGCAGGAGGGGGCGGTGCGAGTGGTCGGAGGGACGGTCCTCGGAGGTGTCACCGCACTCT